AATAAATAGTGCGGATAACCTCAATTACAAACTCAGAGGAGGAAAGGAAAATAAATAGCGCGGATAACCTCACTTACAAACTCAGAGAGGAGGAAAGGAAAATAAATAGCGCGGATAACCTCACTTACAAATTCAGAGGAAGAAAGGAAAATAAATAGCGCGGATAACTTCACTTGCAACCTCAGAGAGGAAGAAAGGAAAATAAATAGCGCGGATAACCTCGCTTACAACCTCAGAGGAGGAAAGGAAAATAAATAGCGCGGATAACCTCACTTACAACCTCAGAGAGGAAGAAAGGAAAATAAATAGCGCGGATAACTTCACTTACAACCTCAGAGAGGAGGAAAGGAAAATAAATAGCGCGGATAACCTCGCTTACAACCTCAGAGGAGGAAAGGAAAATAAATAGTGCGGATAACCTCACTTACAACCTCAGAGGAGGAAAGGAAAATAAATAGTGCGGATAACCTCACTTACAACCTCAGAGAGGAGGAAAGGATAATAAATAGCGCGGATAACCTCACTTACAAATTCAGAGAGGAGGAAAGGAAAATAAATAGCGCGGATAACCTCAATCACAACCTCAGAGAGGAAGAAAGGAAAATAAATAGCGCGGATAACCTCACTTACAACCTCAGAGAAGGAAAGGAAAATAAATAGCGCAGCTAACCTCACTTACAAATTCAGAGAGGAGGAAAGGAAAATAAATAGCGCGGATAACCTCACTTACAACCTCAGAGAGGAAGAAAGGAAAATAAATAGCGCGGATAAGCTCACTTACAACCTCAGAGAGGAGGAAAGGGAAATAAATAGCGCGGATAACCTCACTTACAACCTCAGAGAGGAGGAAAGGAAAATAAATAGCGCGGATAACCTCACTTACAACCTCAGAGAGGAAGAAAGGAAAATAAATAGCGCGGATAACCTCACTTACAACCTCAGAGAGGAGGAAAGGGAAATAAATAGCGCGGATAACCTCACTTACAACCTCAGAGAGGAGGAAAGGAAAATAAATAGCGCGGATAACCTCACTTACAACCTCAGAGAGGAAGAAAGGAAAATAAATAGCGCGGATAACCTCACTTACAACCTCAGAGAGGAAGAATTAAGAAAGGAAAATAAATAGCGCGGATAACCTCACTTACAACCTCAGAGAGGAGGAAAGGAAAATAAATAGCGCGGATAACCTCACTTACAACCTCAGAGAGGAAGAAAGGAAAATAAATAGCGCGGATAACCTCACTTACAACCTCAGAGAGGAAGAATTAAGAAAGGAAAATAAATAGCGCGGATAACCTCACTTGCAACCTCAGAGAGGAAGAAAGGAAAATAAATAGCGCGGATAACCTCACTTACAAATTCAGAGATGAAGAAAGGAAAATAAATAGCGCGGATAACCTCAATTACAACCTCAGAGAGGAGGAAAGGAAAATAAATAGCGCATAATAACCAGAACCTCACTAACAAGTTACAACTAGATATCACCTCAGCTTCGATCAGCCCCAACAAATGACACTAAGTTCACATTTTGTCCGAGTTTTAACGAAGAGAAACGCAGTAAAAATCGCGTTAACCTCGCACCTGTCAACTTGCGCTACTATACTAAAGTATACAACTATATATATATTATATTAACTAAATAACCTGAACAATGAACAGAGGACGTTAAATTTACACGTCCGAGTTTTAACGAGAGGGTACTCACATACCTACTTACTTTAGACGGAATATTTACAACGTAGCAGTGGTTTTAAGGTCACAATACTAGGTGAAGGGAATCTAGTCCAATACTAAGTAATAACTAAAACTTAATAAAAGTTATACTTGTCAATAATAAAATACTGAGAAACAAGTCTAAATAAATAATACTGACGAGGCTACAACTAAAACACTAATACAGATTACTGGGTATAAACTAAACTAAAGCACAACAAACAGTCGCCATAGCAACCTGACATCACCCTTTTAAAACACGCACAATAACACCAGTAGTACCTGGTTATGCCACGTGGTATTGTACCTGCACAGAAGCACTACAAGTCACATGCTATTTTACTGCCAATTAATTGTGCAGATTTGTGTTACCACTGTAATTGTTTCATTAAGAAGAGGAAGAGGTAACAGTGAGGAATGTGTCGCGGGTTGGACGTGTGTCGCGCGACTCATTTTGTTCCTCACAGGTATGATCTACTGATGAAGCTCACGAATATTCTGACGCTCAGCAAACTTAATCTTTCATAAAAGGTCTCCTTTAGTTTTACAACTAAAGGAGCGACCCTTTAAAAAAGTACTACTATGCAATGTCTCGCAGGAAGGCAGGATAGCTCATTTAAATGTAGTAACAAGGAAAATCCTCACAAGGGACAGGTATAATCTCACTAGCTTTCAGTAACCATCACTTAGCAGTTGCTAACACGTGTCAAATAAACATGATTTGCGGTCAGTTTATGGAATATAATTAAATAATAAATAAACGACGTGATGCGAACATTTATAAAATATTCTACGAAATGCAGATAACACTATAACAGATCGACGCATTCCATCCCCACTGAAACACATCCTAAAGACAGTGACAAAACCATACACTAGCCAAGAAGCGTGCTGGAACAGTGTAAAACTAGCAGCAAAATGAGAATTAGTGCATACTCCACCACCTAGCAGTTACAGTGAGTTCCACGCTTGCATAAGATCACAAGATGCAATCACGTGACCACACTAGGATACAATCACGTGACCACACTAGGATACAATCACGTGACTAGATTAGGATACAATCACGTGACTACACTAGGATACAATCACGTGACTACATAAGGATACAATCACGTGACTACATTAGGATACAATCACGTGACTACATTAGGATACAATCACGTGACTACATTAGAATACAATCACGTGACTACATTAGGATACAATCACGTGACTACATTAGGATACAATCACGTGACTACATTAGGATACAATCACGTGACCACACTAGGATACAATCACGTGACTACATTAGGATACAATCACATGACTACACTAGGATACAATCACGTGACCACACTAGGATACAATCACGTGACCACACTAGGATACAATCACGTGACTACATTAGGATACAATCACATGACTACACTAGGATACAATCACGTGACCACACTAGGATACAATCACGTGACCACACTAGGATACAACATAATAAAACATTACAAGATATGTCAATTGTCACCTGACTTTACTATTCAACTAGGATACAACTTGGAGCGAGATAATTATTAGGCGGGAATATTAAAACTTAGAGTAAAACTAGCTGTTCATTAATACTTTATTAGGGCGGGTGTAGTAAAAGTTCAGTAAAAACTAACGAGGCACTTTTATACAAAATTTCAGAGGTAAATTGTCCGGAGCGTCGTAAAACGGAATAATATTTGAAAGGTTTGCACTAGTAGGATTTATTAAAACATCACCCATCAAATACCTCCCAATTATCGCCCTGTCGACGAATATTCTGTATTAGCAGGGTCCTGATACCGTGACTCGATTAAAATTACCTAATACTTACCTAATTCTAATAATCGGTCCGTGTGACCTGCATTTTTACACGTGTAATCAAATATTTATATCAGGTATGAGATAAAGAATGAGAAACAGCTGGAAAGTATCATGAAGGAAATTTCAACCCTAATTTCGTTGAGCGTGCAAGATCATAGAGGAAGCCATAAAACACCCCAAATTGACGGATTAAAATGGATTAAATTGATGACCGCTTCCTCTGAGACTGAGTTTGACACTATGACAGTCTCACTCAGCTGATGAATATAAAGCACTACAGTTTCCCTGTGGGCACTTAATAAGAACAACGCGACACTTCTCTAATCAAGACATATTGGGTGTGTTTAACTGCAGTTGCAAAAGTGAGTTTTAGTAAGTAATCGGAACACGCACGATACCTCTCACGCTATTAACCCAATAAGTTATAATTATTTTATCGATTTAATACAATAGTTTAACTATATATCAACGCACAAGGGAAGGCAACTGCATTGCAGAATTGCAGCAACCAACAAGCAATAATCAAACACAACTGCACAACATCAAAATAATGATGATAAACGATTTGAACGGCTCGCATCACATACCATAACATGGCTGATAACGATTTGTTTTACGACAGAGTTGTACAATTATTCCGCGGTAATCAGCTCTCTCTCACTCTCTCTCACTCTCTCTCTCTCTCTCTCTCTCTCTCGGAGTGATTATGACAGGTTGTAATGGAATGACAGTTCACATGTCATTAACTTGTGTTTGTTAGGTTTCAGACCCATTAGCACAGAGAGTCAGATGCCTTGTCTCAGAACACAAGCTGAAGTGGAACGTGCCAAGAGGAAGATAATCTCTATAACATTCCTCTCTCACATTCCTTGGTAACGGGAAATAAGAAGTTTCCTTGGTAACGGGAAACAAGAAGTTTCCCTGGTAACATTGCAAGAAGGGAGACATTAAAATAAATAACTGTTTGGGAATGTAGAGACGGTTGATAAGGAATGTAGAGACGGTTGATAAGGAATGTAGAGACGGTTGATAAGGAATGTAGAGACGATTGATAAGGAATGTAGATATGGTTGATAAGGAATGTACAAATGGTTGTTAAGGTAGATACCCCACTCTACCAACTGGTTAAACACATACCAATATTCTAAATTACCATATGATTAATGAGGTCTATGTTTGTCGGAGTGATGACTATTTATAGTATGTGTAGTATTGTTATTAGTGATCAGCGGGTGAAGTTGGGCTGATGAGATGAGGAATGGTGGGTTTGATAATCAATAACCTGAACGTGGCTGGGGAAATGAAACAGATGTGGTATTGCACGTTACAATTCTTAAATTAAGGCGACATGTTCAAATAAAAGATATGTACTTAATCTGCCGCCCACCAAACAGATTATTTAATTAATTGTTTGGATAATTAATTGATTTGAAATGTAAATTGTAAAAGGTACTAACCCACTAGAATTGTTCCTTTTCTCCACTTCATCTCCTTCCATTCCTATGAAAGTAGTCTTCATTACTAACGATGAATTTAATTTTTAAAGGTCATTAAAAGGTTACTAAAAGGTTACTAAAAGGTTACTAAATGATTATTTACAATAAACAAGAAGCAACAAAAAGTGAATAACAAAATAAAGTTAATGCATTGTAAAATTTCAACCCTCCCCCTATTCAGGAGGTATAAGAGAGGAGGAGGGGAGTACTCCTCCCCTCCCCCCTATTCAGGAGGTATAAGAGAGGAGGAGGGGAGCACTCCTCCCCTCCCCCCTATTCAGGAGGTATAAGAGAGGAGGAGGGGAGTACTCCTCCCCTCCCCCCTATTCAGGAGGTATAAGAGAGAAGGAGGGGAGTACTCCTCCCCTCCCCCTATTCAGGAGGTATAAGAGAGGAGGAGGGGAGTACTCCTCCCCTCCCCCTATTCAGGAGGTATAAGAGAGAAGGAGGGGAGCACTCCTCCCCTCCCCCCTATTCAGGAGGTATAAGAGAGGAGGAGGGGAGTACTCCTCCCCTCCCCCCTATTCAGGAGGTATAAGAGAGGAGGAGGGGAGCACTCCTCCCCTCCCCCTATTCAGGAGGTATAAGAGAGAAGGAGGGGAGCACTCCTCCCCTCCCCCCTATTCAGGAGGTATAAGAGAGGAGGAGGGGAGCACTCCTCCCCTCCCCCCTATTCAGGAGGTATAAGAGAGGAGGAGGGGAGCACTCCTCCCCTCCCCCTATTCAGGAGGTATAAGAGAGGAGGAGGGGAGTACTCCTCCCCTCCCCCTATTCAGGAGGTATAAGAGAGAAGGAGGGGAGCACTCCTCCCCTCCCCCCTATTCAGGAGGTATAAGAGAGGAGGAGGGGAGTACTCCTCCCCTCCCCCCTATTCAGGAGGTATAAGAGAGGAGGAGGGGAGCACTCCTCCCCTCCCCCCTATTCAGGAGGTATAAGAGAGGAGGAGGGGAGCACTCCTCCCCTCCCCCTATTCAGGAGGTATAAGAGAGAAGGAGGGGAGTACTCCTCCCCTCCCCCCTATTCAGGAGGTATAAGAGAGGAGGAGGGGAGTACTCCTCCCCTCCCCCCTATTCAGGAGGTATAAGAGAGGAGGAGGGGAGCACTCCTCCCCTCCCCCTATTCAGGAGGTATAAGAGAGAAGGAGGGGAGCACTCCTCCCCTCCCCTTATTCAGGAGGTATAAGAGAGAAGGAGGGGAGCACTCCTCCCCTCCCCCCTATTCAGGAGGTATAAGAGAGGAGGAGGGGAGTACTCCTCCCCTCCCCCCTATTCAGGAGGTATAAGAGAGAAGGAGGGGAGCACTCCCCCCCTCCCCCCTATTCAGGAGGTATAAGAGAGAAGGAGGGGAGCACTCCTCCCCTCCCCCCTATTCAGGAGGTATAAGAGAGAAGGAGGGGAGCACTCCTCCCCTCCCACCTATTCAGGAGGTATAAGAGAGAAGGAGGGGAGCACTCCTCCCCTCCCCCTATTCAGGAGGTATAAGAGAGAAGGAGGGGAGCACTCCTCCCCTCCCCCCTATTCAGGAGGTATAAGAGAGAAGGAGGGGAGCACTCCTCCCCTCCCCCCTATTCAGGAGGTATAAGAGAGAAGGAGGGGAGCACTCCTCCCCTCCCCCCTATTCAGGAGGTATAAGAGAGAAGGAGGGGAGCACTCCTCCCCTCCCCCCTATTCAGGAGGTATAAGAGAGAAGGAGGGGAGCACTCCTCCCCTCCCCCCTATTCAGGAGGTATAAGAGAGAAGGAGGGGAGCACTCCTCCCCTCCCCCCTATTCAGGAGGTATAAGAGAGAAGGAGGGGAGCACTCCTCCCCTCCCCCTATTCAGGAGGTATAAGAGAGAAGGAGGGGAGCACTCCTCCCCTCCCCCCTATTCAGGAGGTATAAGAGAGAAGGAGGGGAGCACTCCTCCCCTCCCCCCTATTCAGGAGGTATAAGAGAGAAGGAGGGGAGCACTCCTCCCCTCCCCCTATTCAGGAGGTATAAGAGAGAAGGAGGGGAGCACTCCTCCCCTCCCCCCTATTCAGGAGGTATAAGAGAGGAGGAGGGGAGCACTCCTCCCCTCCCCCTATTCAGGAGGTATAAGAGAGGAGGAGGGGAGCACTCCTCCCCTCCCCCCTATTCAGGAGGTATAAGAGAGAAGGAGGGGAGCACTCCTCCCCTCCCCCCTATTCAGGAGGTATAAGAGAGAAGGAGGGGAGCACTCCTCCCCTCCCCCTATTCAGGAGGTATAAGAGAGAAGGAGGGGAGCACTCCTCCCCTCCCCCCTATTCAGGAGGTATAAGAGAGAAGGAGGGGAGCACTCCTCCCCTCCCCCTATTCAGGAGGTATAAGAGAGGAGGAGGGGAGCACTCCTCCCCTCCCCCCTATTCAGGAGGTATAAGAGAGGAGGAGGGGAGCACTCCTCCCCTCCCCCCTATTCAGGAGGTATAAGAGAGAAGGAGGGGAGCACTCCTCCCCTCCCCCCTATTCAGGAGGTATAAGAGAGGAGGAGGGGAGCACTCCTCCCCTCCCCCCTATTCAGGAGGTATAAGAGAGGAGGAGGGGAGCACTCCTCCCCTCCCCCCTATTCAGGAGGTATAAGAGAGAAGGAGGGGAGCACTCCTCCCCTCCCCCCTATTCAGGAGGTATAAGAGAGAAGGAGGGGAGCACTCCTCCCCTCCCCCCTATTCAGGAGGTATAAGAGAGAGGAGGGGAGCACTCCTCCCCTCCCCCCTATTCAGGAGGTATAAGAGAGAAGGAGGGGAGCACTCCTCCCCTCCCCCCTATTCAGGAGGTATAAGAGAGAGGAGGGGAGCACTCCTCCCCTCCCCCCTATTCAGGAGGTATAAGAGAGGAGGAGGGGAGCACTCCTCCCCTCCCCCCTATTCAGGAGGTATAAGAGAGAAGGAGGGGAGCACTCCTCCCCTCCCCCCTATTCAGGAGGTATAAGAGAGAGGAGGGGAGCACTCCTCCCCTCCCCCCTATTCAGGAGGTATAAGAGAGAAGGAGGGGAGCACTCCTCCCCTCCCCCCTATTCAGGAGGTATAAGAGAGAAGGAGGGGAGCACTCCTCCCCTCCCCCCTATTCAGGAGGTATAAGAGAGAAGGAGGGGAGCACTCCTCCCCTCCCCCCTATTCAGGAGGTATAAGAGAGAAGGAGGGGAGCACTCCTCCCCTCCCCCCTATTCAGGAGGTATAAGAGAGAAGGAGGGGAGCACTCCTCCCCTCCCCCCTATTCAGGAGGTATAAGAGAGAAGGAGGGGAGCACTCCTCCCCTCCCCCCTATTCAGGAGGTATAAGAGAGAAGGAGGGGAGCACTCCTCCCCTCCCCCCTATTCAGGAGGTATAAGAGAGAGGAGGGGAGCACTCCTCCCCTCCCCCCTATTCAGGAGGTATAAGAGAGAAGGAGGGGAGCACTCCTCCCCTCCCCCCTATTCAGGAGGTATAAGAGAGAAGGAGGGGAGCACTCCTCCCCTCCCCCCTATTCAGGAGGTATAAGAGAGAAGGAGGGGAGCACTCCTCCCCTCCCCCCTATTCAGGAGGTATAAGAGAGAAGGAGGGGAGCACTCCTCCCCTCCCCCCTATTCAGGAGGTATAAGAGAGAAGGAGGGGAGCACTCCTCCCCTCCCCCCTATTCAGGAGGTATAAGAGAGAAGGAGGGGAGCACTCCTCCCCTCCCCCCTATTCAGGAGGTATAAGAGAGAAGGAGGGGAGCACTCCTCCCTCCCCCCTATTCAGGAGGTATAAGAGAGAAGGAGGGGAGCACTCCTCCCCTCCCCCCTATTCAGGAGGTATAAGAGAGGAGGAGGGGAGCACTCCTCCCCTCCCCCCTATTCAGGAGGTATAAGAGAGAAGGAGGGGAGCACTCCTCCCCTCCCCCCTATTCAGGAGGTATAAGAGAGGAGGAGGGGAGCACTCCTCCCCTCCCCCCTATTCAGGAGGTATAAGAGAGAAGGAGGGGAGCACTCCTCCCCTCCCCCCTATTCAGGAGGTATAAGAGAGAAGGAGGGGAGCACTCCTCCCCTCCCCCCTATTCAGGAGGTATAAGAGAGAAGGAGGGGAGCACTCCTCCCCTCCCCCCTATTCAGGAGGTATAAGAGAGGAGGAGGGGAGCACTCCTCCCCTCCCCCCTATTCAGGAGGTATAAGAGAGAAGGAGGGGAGCACTCCTCCCCTCCCCCCTATTCAGGAGGTATAAGAGAGAGGAGGGGAGCACTCCTCCCCTCCCCCCTATTCAGGAGGTATAAGAGAGAGGAGGGGAGCACTCCTCCCCTCCCCCCTATTCAGGAGGTATAAGAGAGAAGGAGGGGAGCACTCCTCCCCTCCCCCCTATTCAGGAGGTATAAGAGAGAAGGAGGGGAGCACTCCTCCCCTCCCCCCTATTCAGGAGGTATAAGAGAGAAGGAGGGGAGCACTCCTCCCCTCCCCCCTATTCAGGAGGTATAAGAGAGAAGGAGGGGAGCACTCCTCCCCTCCCCCCTATTCAGGAGGTATAAGAGAGAGGAGGGGAGCACTCCTCCCCTCCCCCCTATTCAGGAGGTATAAGAGAGAAGGAGGGGAGCACTCCTCCCCTCCCCCCTATTCAGGAGGTATAAGAGAGAAGGAGGGGAGCACTCCTCCCCTCCCCCCTATTCAGGAGGTATAAGAGAGGAGGAGGGGAGCACTCCTCCCCTCCCCCCTATTCAGGAGGTATAAGAGAGAAGGAGGGGAGCACTCCTCCCCTCCCCCCTATTCAGGAGGTATAAGAGAGAAGGAGGGGAGCACTCCTCCCCTCCCCCCTATTCAGGAGGTATAAGAGAGGAGGAGGGGAGCACTCCTCCCCTCCCCCCTATTCAGGAGGTATAAGAGAGAAGGAGGGGAGCACTCCTCCCCTCCCCCCTATTCAGGAGGTATAAGAGAGAAGGAGGGGAGCACTCCTCCCCTCCCCCCTATTCAGGAGGTATAAGAGAGGAGGAGGGGAGCACTCCTCCCCTCCCCCCTATTCAGGAGGTATAAGAGAGAGGAGGGGAGCACTCCTCCCCTCCCCCCTATTCAGGAGGTATAAGAGA